TAAAGTTAGCGCAGAAGTTCGACAATGCATTGCTCGAGCGGATTTAGCGATTGATATTTTCCTGGTGAACCTACCGAGGGACAATATCAAACGTCGCCTTATCCGCAATAGACTTTATGATCGTGCATGCCCTACGAATATCTGCGTTATTTGTCCGTTTGGAAAGGACAGGGATTGCACACAACGAGGGACAGTGTACCAACTTCAGTGTTCAGCCTGTGACGGAATTTATATTGGTGAGACGGGAAGGATGTTAGGCATACGTGTCAAGGAACATCTAGCAGGTAAAAGGCGCGGAAGCCTCTTCACGCCACTTGGGAGGCATCGAGTAGAAGTACATCAAGGCAATGATTTTGATGTCAAATGCAAAATCCTAGCCTACGAGAATGAGATCAGTGCTAGAAAGATTTTGGAAGCGTTCTACATCCACGAGAGAAATCCTGAGCTGAACAACCGAAATGAGTGCATTGCTATAACAAGCGAATTTCTGCCGTTCATTTCTTTTTGTGGGCTTTGAGAACACCGCTTAACTCTTATCCAACGACCGTCAATGGTGTATCTCATTGGTCCCTGTTTGTTCACGAAATCGAGTGGGACGACAACGTTAGTGGAACCGCAGAAGGTTGGTTTCTCGGTTGGGATCTTTTAGTGTTGAAGTTTCTGGGAGCTGTTGCAACTGGGCTAGCGCGTTTGGGCGCTTGGTCGGGTAAGCCACAGATCAGGAGCTCCGAACTGCTTTCAGGTCCTGAAGACGACGATTTGTCGAAACGTCGACCAATAAAGCGGTTTCTGCCTTAACAAACCTGTACGGCAAAACAGTGAAAAACATTACACGCGAGTAAATATGGCAGAAAAGGGCTACCGTATCGCTAAGGTGCATTCAAGTCCCAAAAGATAAATAGAAATCGATCTTCCTGTGCGCTGATTTGATGCCGTTTCAAGATACCCTTTCCAGTCCTACTCAGATAGTAATGATGTTCTATGTAAAAACTGAATTGAAGTAGTCGATTTACAGGTTGATGCTTTTATTCTCCCGGATGAGTCAGGCACCAACTAACTGGTCTTCGCGAAATGGGAAATTGGTAACGATTTATGTGGATGTAGCTCCAGCAGCTGATCCTCGGACCACGCATGTGGTACCGCGCCACTTCGTACTACATCATCGCCACCCTCGAATCACAACAAAAAGTTTTAAAAAACTTTGAGAACTATTCCAGTTAGCAGAAACAGAATCCTCGTCACCTTCCCTTTGCACAGTGCTTGATATAGAAGAACTTTAATTTTGTAACAAACACTTCGAAATGATAATTGACGAGACCGCGCAAAAAAGGATAGGGTTAAAGCATTCATTGATCCGATCACTGGTAATCGTTAAATCCAGTCGCTTTGAACCCACCACTACAATACAAATTTTGTATCTATGTAATCAAACAAAATCAAGTCACCTACAAGGAAATCTTCATGCTAACCTAGTTAGTACTCATAGCAGGAACCAACCCCTCTACCCGGCTGTCAGAGGGGTAAGTTGCTCTTGTCGTAGTTGTCATAGGTAATTAATGATTCCCCTGCAATCACTGGCTGCTGGTTGTGTAGGTACAACAAACCCCTCATATAACTTATCTCACCATAAGTGTTGACGACCGGAAAGGGTTTGAAGCGAGTGGCTATAAGATTTTTGCCATATCCCAGGATAGGAAGAGGATCATCACCTCAATGGCTGAGCTTCCGGATGAACAATCTTGGCCACTACTTATTTAAGCTTATTCATCTCCGCAGTGTGCAGGTGCAGACAGCTAGCAGGTGGCTGATCTCCCACAATGGCCGCTGTTATTTATTCATTGATAAGTTCGTGAGCTAGGAGGCTGCATTGATGGTTATTGCCGACCAATCGGCAGATATTCAAAGAGGTGAAACGTTTCATAGAAGGTATTTGACGCAGATTCGCCTACCTTGTCTGTTATCTCAGCCACCAGCGAGCCTGATTTCGCCGACATAAAAGCGTCTGCCATATTGTTACACTCGTCCACTAGATCAGGACGTCTCTGAAAATATAAGCGAGAAATGACGATCAACCAATGATCGCATAACTGCTGTTTACTTCTCAAAAATGCGAAAAGAAATTTTCGGGTCTCAACACTTGCGACATCTTCCCGAACATTCAACTTTGCGAAGTAACGTCCAAGTGCGACTCTCAATAAACCTCGGCATTCTTCCTTCAGTTTTGAAGTTTAGTTTCATTTGCTGTACCATTCACGAGGAAACCCACGTAGGAGGCTCATACAACCCGTCATGACCCATAGCCACGGTGAACGGTAGTTCTGTACAGTTCTGTACAGTATTCACCTCTTTGCGCAATTGCAATAACTGGAATCTCGTCCGGAGACCCCTCCCATGTTATTTCCGTCATGGTAATCTCGTCCAACCTCTATTTTCTCTACGTTAAGGGGCTTCATTTTCCTCGAAATCGGAGACTTCCTCACTTTCGTTACTATCGATAAACTATTCCCAACCTATATTTCCGATTCTTGAATAAAAAAGGGGTACCTCAAAATTATCGTGAACTGTGCCTCTAGGGTTAAACAAAATTTTCAGCAAAAAAGTAATACTGAAAGAGGATTGTGCTTACCCCTCGAAATATGTCGAAGGAACCAATAGAACAACAGACTGCGAACGGAGGCTTGTGGTAGTAACCATGCAACGGTAAAACCTGATCCCTTGATATCGCAACTGTTTTTCCAACGTCAATGAGAAATACGTCTATGGTTGATGACTGAAAAGTACAACTCAAATATCGAACACACGCCTATTTTCGTAGCACAATACCAATTCTCACCGTATTATTCAACATTGGAGTATAAACTACACCCCGTTGCCATTGACGATCTAACCATACGGCCACTCCATCTCCTTTCATCCATAACTGCGGTCTAGCCCATTCCAACACACCTGTGTAGTCATCCCTAAATTGATATTCTACATTGAAAACTGAGTAGTCAATCAATTCGCGTGAGGACAATCGTGACCGAGAAACAAGGGGTAAGGATAAAGTCTTTTGGGGAAATCAATTCCGTCTGAGGGAAGCGCCCCGCATTCTATTTGAATCGTAGTGGCGTAATGAATGCGTGTTGACCTGCACAATGACTTGCAGCGGCCAGCCGATGTACAAGTCAGCGCTTTTTCCTCCCAGACGAGTCTGGGTACCAATTAGCTGACCCCAAAGGAATGGAAGACTTGTTTGACCTAGGCGGATATCCGGGAGTCGAACCCATGACCATGCGGATTGGATAATGCGCCACTTGTCACTAAACCACTTCCAACTCAGAGTTATTCCATTGAAAAATAATTAACAAACAGGTGTTTGTGACTAGCCCAACAAAACCTAACCGATCTAAGGACGGAGCCTAACATTGTCGTCAAAATTTTGAAAAAAAATATGAGTAATAAACAGTAAATGAAACTTGACCCATCGCCGACCTTAATTGGGCAAGCATATCCTTGTATCGATCTTCCTCACTTTCGAATCGAACATAGAACTCGTCCAAGGCGACAAAATGCGTGACTCTCACCTATAACTCAATATTTTTGATTATATATCTACTTCTAAGGAAAAAGAGACTAGCGTCTATTGATCAATTCGGGGAATAAAACATCAATCAATCTACGCTCGAAGTTGCTAAAACATTTCAAATTCTATTGGCCTTGACAATTACTTACGAAGACTTGTCAATCCCCGTCTTTCTTTCGGGAGCACTTTCACATACCACACGACCTTGTATGCCAGAAGCCCTGCATGACAACCACATGCGAGCAGATGGGTTATAAGTTGCAATGGAAACCTTCTGTCACAGACAGATGAAAAAAACTTGACCCAGCTCAGCCTTACAAATTCAAAAGCAGCCCCAGTGGACCAGAATTTCATGAAATGGCCGCTTCTGAAAATATTGATATCTAGCAGACGGCTAAAAGTTACTAGGGGTGAATCCAAGGTAAACCATGGCGCACCACTAGTGTCAGGCCCACTGTTAGAATTTTTTGAAATTCCAATAAATGATCTTCCGGATTTTTTCCTCGTATGCCTGATTCCGCTCATCTGAGCTGGTGGTTTTACGAACACCATTGTGTTTTTTGTGCGGTTTATATGATCTGAAGAGGGACCACACAGATCCCAACGAAACACGAGGGACCACGCTGTCATCTGCTTCTCAAAACCCTCGGGAGTTCAACAGGCAACCTTGACGTGAACTACAAAAATCCCCATTATTGCTTGATGGAAAAGAAAAGAAAAAGTAAAAAAGAATAAAAGTTATTGAACCTACAGATTCCTCATATGGCACTTCACTTGAATCCATCAGATATATGTGTTTGCATTCATATTTTTTCGGCTCCTGCGGAACACGCCGTCGTGGATAGCCATTTCCAACCAAATCGCTACCATACTGTGGGTACCGTTCTGGAACAAAACTAGTTTTGATTTTATAGAAGTAAAGCGTTGTACACGTACCCTGCTCACTCGGCCACCCTCCTCCACTTTCGTACCGTCGGTCGAGAGACGGCTCGCGTGAATCCGCGCGATCTCTCCATGGATGCTGCCATCGTTGTCCACCCCACCCCTGTCCCAATCGCTCTTCTTCAGCATACATATCCTCGGGATGCCTTCTGATTGGAGAGGGGGATTGACGACGCGCCTCCTGATTGAATGCAGGAACGCTGAAACGGCTGCTTCTACCTTCTGATTCACTACCGTAAGGTCCTCTCGTGTAATGTTGACTACCTGAAACGAAAGTCATCAGTGCCCGCTTAGAATTCGCTCCAAAACAACAACCGTACCATCATCACGATAAGTCGGCGGGTCATCTCTTCTAGAGCGATCACTGTAACCACTGCCACCTACCTGCAATGGGATTATTGAACTTCATGTGGAACCGAAAAATGAAACTGGAAACTCAAGGCATACGTTATCGTCTCGAGCACTTTCTCTTCTATCACGGGCACAACCCGAGTCCTCACGCTGGCGAAATAGGTAAGGAGTGCCAGTTGAGCGATTTCTCTCTGAATCTGGGGGCAAACGCATCTGAAATGAGGTTATTAACTAGGGGCCGTAAAGGGGACAGCCTAGAACAGAATTAGATTGATGTAATTGTGGACCCTAACTGAAAAGACCTCATTGGGAAATGGTAAAAACGTCAGCTGAAAGCTGATCGCTCACGCACTGTCCTATTTAACACCCGGACAGTAATCATGTAAAGAAATCCAAAAGACTGCCCACGTCTATGTCCCCTGCCCATATCCCAAAGAAAAAGTCCTCAGGACATAAAAGCCTTCTTCTACCGTATCTCCTAACCCTAGATCTGTGTCGTTTCCACTACTTAGGTTGAAATTTTCGTGATCACTGAGCCTACCCAGAACTGGCCTAAGAAAAAATGTATGAGGCTCCTAGTGGCGAGATGAATTTAAGTGACCGTGCGTCCACTCTTACCAACGTCTTCAGGAGCATGCTCAACTGGGACGAGACCACAAAATTGTCGTTGCGGGAAAGAAAATTGGGAGATCGCCGCGGTCGTTATCTAGACCAGGTATCACTCCTCCGTGGCAGAGTATACTATCGCTTTGTGTGGAGGAGAGCAGGAACCAGAAGGCAGAAGTAGGAAAGCTGCTAGCTCTTCAAGGAGAGGCTTAGGATTAGGCCTGGGCAGTTCAAGTCAAAAAGTGAAGCGTAAGTCACTATTGATGTGAGATCGTGAACCCTTGAAGTAAAACCTGAAGAATAAAGCCTTCTGGCCTTAATCAATCCCGTTTGAAGGGTGCGCCTACATCTCACTTCAATTCGAAATCGTAGTAATGAATGCGTATGTGGCCTATACAATGACCAGCCGATGTACAAATCAGTCCTTTTATCCTCTCAGACGAGTCTGGTATCAACTGACCGACCCTGGAGGGATGGAAGGTTTGGTTGACCTGAGCGGATATCAAACCGGGATCCCAATCCGTTACCATGCGACTGTGATAGGGTGCTACTACACACTATCACAGTCGCGTCGTTGCCACTACACAACCTTCGACTCTCATCACCCTCATCTTAGAAGAATTCAATTGAATGAATGGACTTTTGTTACAACAGCATACAGGAATTACTCCACTCACTTCGCTTCCTGGTCTAAGCGCTCCTGGAGTGATTGTGACCCGGCCATCTGCAAATTATACCTTCGATTTCTAGTGGCTTGTGTACCGTAATGATTGCGCAAATAAGAGTTGACATACTTGGACCCATGGGATTCATTGAAAACGTGTGTTTGTAGGTTGTAACTGCTACACCAATTTTTGCATTATTGCTAAGTTGTTCGTCACCATTTTGAGGTAACGAAATCCGTTGCGAGATTTCACGAAGCAAAAGTCCTTGGGGATAGTCCCGCAGTAAGTCGAAGACCTTAATGATCATAAATAAATCGAAAATTGTTGAGTATGAAGAACGGTTTAAAAAGCAATGGTTTTGGAGCTACACCTTTCGAACAATTTCCAAATTATTCAGCTGAATTGGCTGCCCTCCACCATTGCCAGAGCACACCTTAAAGTCATGAAGTTCGCGAGAAATTAGGATTTCTTCAAAGAAACTCAAGCAAATCAGAAAACAAGTGGATCTAAAATGCATGGCGGCATAACATCAAAGAAATCATGTGTTCACAAAGATCGTTAATCAAAACAGAAAGCTACATACTACGACCTCGCAAAGAAAAAACATTGGAAAGTCATCATACCGTATTTGAACGAACTGGTGTAGGCACCCGTTTCCCTTCAATTTCAATGTCAAGACCAGGTGGATATGAAGGCTCTTCAACTGTACGTGGCACAAGAATCCGAGATGACGAAGGAATACCCTTGAAAACAGTTTTTGGCGTGATCCATTTCACATTACAACAGCAGCACATACCTCTGATGCGCGAGAATTTGCAGCAGAAGATGGCGGTCTCCTCGTTTGAGGAACACTGGGAGCATCAAAACCGGGTGGAGCATCGTAATAAAGTTCTTCAAAAGTATGGTTCAATTATTACGGCGATGAAAACTACTGAAGACCTCATTCTTACCAAGCTTTTGTAGATTCACTCGCCGTAAAAAAAACTCAATTTCTTCGCAAGAAAAGGGTTCCAAATTCGCGTTATCAAAACCAAAATCTTCGTCTCAATCGCGCAACCGGCTTAGGAGCTCACTGCTGAACTAGTTGACATAGATATGAAGAACGCTAGAACTGCAGTAACGAGACAACTAGCCCGTGCGGCGAATCGACTACATGGAAACGATTCAAGTGCCCGTCTCAACTTAATTGTCTGGTTTTAAAACTTATCATCACTGAGAAATCATGTTTTTTCCTTCATTTATTCTGATGGCTGCGGAAACGGTTTCGCTAATAAGGTCCACTCAGACGAACGTCCTTCAAAGTACTTGTGATCGAATTTTTATCATCGAGTTGGCTGAAGTGTAAAATTGACCTGTTTGGGGAGAAACAGTGAATCATAACCTCGATTGAATGAAATGTCTTCACCAGCTGTGGGTTCCATGATAAAGAAGCCAGCGAAACTTTCCTGTTACAAATTGGTTGGGATCTGGTGGTTGAAGGGAAAACTACCGGTGTGTAGAGGCTAATGTGTTATAGAGCGATGCATGAATGACATGATAGCTATACATTCGAAAAAAAGTAATGTAAATAACCACCTCGTGACTGGTTTTCATCCGTAGACGATGAAGTAGTGCTTTTAAGAGAAGCTGTTTCACTCGCGATATTGTACGAGGTATTTCTGAAAACGAGAATTTCGAAAAGTTAAATACATTTCTGAATCAGTGACCCAGCCATTTCTTGTGAGCAACACCCACTCACACAGGTTGCGATCAGATTTGGTGAATTGATTACTGCTACCCATGAAAACCACAAATAACAAACAAACATGTCACTTAACGCTAGGAATAAAGGATAAAAGGATAAAGTTCTGTGGCGTTGTTCAATTCCGTCCGAGGGATGCGCCCATGCATTTGACCTCCATTCACACTCGTAGCGGCGTATTGAATGCGTAGTATGTAGCCTATACAATGACTTGCGGTGACCAGCCGATGTACAAGTCAGTGCTTTTATCCTTCCAGACGAGTCTGGGACCAATTAACCGCCCACGGAGGGATGGAAGGCTTGGTTGGCTCAGGCGAATATCGATCCGGGATTTGAACCCATGATCTTGTGTGATATAGTGCGCCACTTACCACTGCACCACCTCCGCTCTAACGCTAGGAATATTGAGCACAGAGCCTTATCATAATTTGATTGGATCGAAAAGGTGCCAGCTAAGAAGTTTGATTGGAAAAGCAGAAAAATCCAAATAATTCCGAAAGTTTCACAGCATGCGGCACGGCTCTTAAGTGCTGCATAACGCCTTTTTCGGCTACAGGATGATGCCTAGTTAGTCAGGATACCCAATATCGCTTGGCTTGATAAACGCTGTTCTATACCAATTAAGGGGGCCCATCTAAGTGTCATACATATTGTTAGAATGAAGAAGAAAAGGTGTCAGTCAGCGGCACAGTTCACATCAAAATGGTTTTCGAGATTTCCTACCAGAACGTGGGACCAGGAGCGCCACAAGGGGCGCTGTCGGGTCAAAATCGACTAGATGAAGCACTTCAAGAGCTACAATCCGTTCCTGCCGAAAAATTTCTAGGAGACCTAATAACTGGAGATGAAACGAGCACTTCGACTTCGACTTTAGCAGTAAATATGGCGCCTAGGCGCAGAGACGGTATACTAAGTGGAGGAGATCAGAAGGATATGGGGGTGAGTCTTAGTTCGTGATGGCAAGAAATCTGTCAAGCACAGACTCCGGGTAAACAATTCTAGTTATTCTACATATAGATAATTCTAGATATATGCCGAATTGTATTTGAAAAATGGAGTTCCTGGAAAACCCTCTGACAAATCAAAATGAAAACTTTACAACAGAACGAAAGCTTACCCGAATCCGAAGCGATTAACAATTTGAGGGTTGCTGGCATCACCTCTCGCATTTGAAGACAATTCACGTTCGTCATTCATTTGCTTCCGATTTTGCTGATCGTAGCCAAAATTAGGAAGCCTCCCATCAGATGCACTAGAACAAAGAAGGAAGTTTTCAGTCAGCTGGACACACAAGCCTAAAGCCATTACGCAATAAACGGAAAAAATTGCACCTGTGACGAAACTGCTGATCATTTCTGGGCGTAAATGGTTTCGAAGATTGGTTACCGTCGTATTTAGAATATCCTCGTGGTGGTTCGAAATTGCTAAACATGAAAATGACTTGCATAAAAAACAATGATGTACATGAATTTTGTTGTTATCGTTGTTTTAGTTAAACACTACTAAGCAAGAGAGTGGGCAAGAGATCAGGTACGAAACGGTTAAAAACGCAACTCTCGCTCAAGGCAGAGCTTTTGAAGAGATACGGCAACCCGATCGGAGAGCTAAATAAGTGGAGATAGTCTTACAAGATTGGCGAGTTATGGACAAAACTTCGGCCTCACCATCAGATGGGACTCGAACCCGTACTTGTGCTATCCGAGTATCGTGCTCTTTTCCCTTACACTACGCGCTTGCCTTCACGTACTGCGGCGAAATAATAGCAATTAACCAAGTTCAAAGTATAAAGGATATGTTTTTTTGGCGTTAATCAATTCCCTCGAAGGGATGCGCCCCTGGCACTGACTCCCATTCAGAATCAATGACTTGCGGTGGCCAGCCGAAGTACAAGTCAGTGCTTTTATCTTCCCAGACGAGTCCGGTTCCAATTAACAGACTTCGGGGAGATGGAAGGCTTGGTTGGCTAAGGCGGACATCGATACAGGATTCGAACCCCTGACCGTGCGTTTGAAAAAGTGCGCCACTTGCCAATACACCACCTCCGCCCAATGAATGAAACATCAAGTCAAAATAGGTGGAGAAATATCTCACGTGAACTCCCAAGGTTTGCTGCCTAGCTTTCCACACTTCAATACACGACGAGCTGGTGCGTTAAATTTGCTTCGTAATACGAAATTCAATTATACAAATACGCGGCTTTATCAAATTATGCACAACAACTACTCGTTTTAATGTAACAACGATTGGGCAATAACTATGAGGGCGTTCTGAAAAGATTACAAGCATCTATCAATCTCTGAGCTTCCGTACATTAACTACTCCTAAATGGTTATGGCACCGACTGGCCCCCAGCCCCACGAAGGTAGAAAGGTTGGTGGATAAGCGGGGAATTTTTGCGATCAGGAGATATTGAAGTCACTGCAACCACCCTTTTGCGGTGAAATTGCAGGTAGATAAACCCAAAACATTGAAAATGTAAAACGAACGGTCGACTGGACGAACGAAATCCTGGCGGCGGTGCACGTTCAAACGCAGGTTTACGAAACGATCCTAGAAAGATGAAAAAACCCTAATCCATGAGAAAGAAATTAGAACGAGACGCCTGAAAACTAACTTCCTCCTTTCTTAGATTTTTCTGTAGCCATCGACTGCACTATGTTTTCAACAGCTTCCGTCGTTTCACCAAACCATCTGTCTCCCTTAGGAGAATTATATGAAAGGATCTTTAGAAAACTTCAGAATAGCAGTCAAACCGTACCCGACAGTAAAATTTATTCTTAAAAGACTGCAGGAGGTTCTCCAAGCTATTGAAACCAAATTTTCGCGTATCGATGTCTTTTCCACACATATCCCTTGAAACAAATGTTCAGGTCAACGTTTACCCAGTAACATTTGAATTATCTAATCAGCCTACTTATAATCCTTCTTGATTTCAGCAATTCTCGACCCTCCTTTCGTTGCTTTAGTCAAAATGACAGTGTGCAGTTGGGTGATGAACTCTTCCAGCTCTTTTTCGCCCGCCATATTCACCTAGCACTATTCTAAATATTCCAAGTAATATAGCGAGAAAATCGACCTTTGATATCAAAGGCATAAAACCGTGCACAGCTAATAAATAGGGTACGATATTTCCTAACATTTATTATTAGTGGGCTACAAACGATTAAAAAACCCGTAAAATTCGTGCAAAATCAACGAAAACAAAGAGATCGACCTATATCAAACTGTGAAACGGCATCGAAGAAAAACAAAATAAGATAAATATCCAAATTAAAGTGGTTACTAGGTTAGGGAACACTCAACAATCGTGGAACAAAAAATAACAACGTCAAGACAGCATTGTTTTTGACGAATCCCCTTCTAACAACAAAATACGTTCTATGGTCGAAGCAGCATCATGTATTGAAACCATCGCTGTGGGTGAAGTGTCTTGCCAAACTGTTTCCGTCAATAGCAAAAGTACCTGAAATTAATAACACCATAGTGAATGAAGTGAATGAGCCAATGTGAAAATGCGAATAAAATTCGAATGCAATTTCTAACAGATGACTTCATAATGGCAATCAATTTTCAGTAACATTTTCACTATCTACGCCAATTTCTCCTACTTTTTCTCAAAAGTCTAAAGCCACGTTAATCCCGCCTGAGATCGCCTCAAATTTAAAACAACAGCTATGTGGAAATGTGCCTAGCACCGATAGCACCCTGGAGATTGAAATTTTCCTCCGCATCCTGTTGACTAGAGGGTTCAACCTCGTGAATGGGCCCCTTCGCATACTGACTGTAAGATGCCCTTGTTTTTTGAATAATGACAAATAGACAGTACCATTCAAATGTAGAACTAAACATACTACTAAACACATCAAAGGATAAACTCGCACCTGATCATCGACATCTGTAAGGCACACGTTTTCATAAAGTCCTTCTGCTGCTGCACGTCTAACTACAGGCAAAGAACTTGACAAAGATCGAACGACCTGTTGAAAAACCTCATTTCAATAGATAATTTGCACCATTTCGGAGAAATACGGCACAAAAAACCCCGGTCTATAAAGAAATTTAGATTGATTCAAACCCAAACCAATTGCATTGCCGTACGCCAAGTAATACTATCACGATTGCAGCCAAGTAATGAGCATAATGAGTTGAGCGCGCATTTGATTCGAAAAGGAGATGCTGTGCGAGAATTCACAATCTGTAAAAAGGAAAATTGTAGAGCAGATAAAAACTCGTTCAAGACACTCACCTTTGTCAAATGCAAAAGCAAACGAGAGAGAGCCGTTGAGGAATCGGGACATTGCTCGAGGACATGAAGCCGCGACAGAATTTGTGGTAACAGTCGCAGTACACTGTCCCCAATACGGACTACTTTGCGGCCAACATCGAACAGATCAGCCACCGTCTCAAGGAAACGCTCCATCGACTGAAAACACAACAATTATTAGGCTAACTGTCTCATATTGGAGTGGTTCGCTTTAACAAGTCACCTCATCAGATAAGTTCAAGTAAAACATTTTGTTGAGGCCCAGACAAACATAATGAATTTTCTCGAAGCTGTAGGAATGATATTACTTGGAAATTCGAAGCTCTAACTAATCGCGAGATAGCTCGTCGATTGGTGCTACCGAAAGTAAACATTACAGTGGAGTGCACATCAACAACGCTCACCAATGCCCCTTGCTCTCCCAGCATCAAATTTTCCGAACAAAATAGATGTATCAAGCAGTATCCAACAAAATGAATAGTATTTGGCGGAAAAAACTAATTCACTTCTTGTATAATCAAGTAATCTTCACGCAAACCCTAGTCGGTTGTATAGCGAGTAATTCGAGGCGGAAACTTGCAGGAACTAAAGAAGGGCAAACTGAACGTTTGGATTAAGTTGTACAGTTGGTGGCACATTTGTAGCAACTGCGTTGAAACATTCTCAAATTTTCACACAAGGCATTCAGATGAAGTGGAATGGGGCCCTATCGATAGCCGTACTTGTTGGGAACGATAGTACATAAACCTAATTGCCCCTGAAAGACTTGTTTTGCGAAGGAAAATAAATATTTTGTGAAGGAAAACAAATCAATATGCAAGGTTTTCCGAAAAAATAAACTTTTAAGGTTAAATTGCCAGTAAAAAGAAAACGGTTTTATTTCAAAGGAAATGTTTTGACAGAAAATATAATATGGAATTACAGAGCATGTGATACGTAATGACTTAGCTTCGCTAACGCTGTAAACATATTTTTATGCTGCTGTGAGAACAATGCTTATACCCGATTTTGGAAAACGAAGTCGTCAAAATGTAAGGGAGGAGAATGAAAAATTGTCGAATTTACTGGGAATTGTTTTATGTTTCTCAACAGAGCACAAATGGGAGGAATTGATGAATTAATATGAACTTTCAAAAAGTTAAATCACCTTAAGATCTTTTGAAGTGGAAAGTTGATATTCCATCAAGGCCTGAGAAGCTCGCATTGTTGTTCCCTCACTGACACCTCCTGAAACAGAGTCTAATACTGTAATTAATCGCATAAAAAAGCCCAAAAGCTACGAACCAGCAGATATCACAAAGCCACAAATGAGGTCAGTGTAGTATTCTTCACACAAGAGCAGAGGCGTTATTGAAAGGAAAACGGAATCCTTAAGAAACAAGGCTGCTGTTTGTGATATAGGAATAGAATAGAACAGATTCAAAACGAACCTGAATGAAATCATGCTCATCACGGTAAATTGCTGACAGCTCTTCAGCATGTTTTATGTGCTGCCGAGTGCTCTTCGAGTTCAACAGGGTTTTGATGCACTTGCAAGCGGTCTAGAATTGATTCAGGACTGTTTCGCCCAGACTTCCCCATATATATATATATATATATATATATATATATATATATATATATATATATATA